AATCAGGTCTCAATGTGACCAATCACTGACTGAGAAATATGATGAAGGGGAGTCATGTGAAATATATTACTGAGCATGAGATTTGCATTGTGTTTGTGTTTACATGTCTGGTGTACAGGAATGCACACGTTGATGTGTGAAGTGCGTATTCCTCAAATCCCCCACAACCCTGAACAGTCAAAGCAGTTGAGAGACTGAATGGCTGTCTCCAATCTAAATATTGAGCATGTAGTACCCTGCAAGAGTTTTAATTATTTATTAATAGTTTTTTAAAGAGATCGGCAGCTCAAGAAAAAAAGGGAAGTAAAAGTCAAAGAAGACGGATAAAGGGACCTGCTGGTGCTTTTAAGACTCCTAGAGGAAGTTGGTGTTCTATAGGTCTCTTTGTATCGCCTTGGTAACAGCAGTGGGTGTTCTGCAATGCTAGGCAACCCAACTGGCCCCTCCTCTGTCCCAGCATGACCCCTGGTGACCTGTGAACTGTACTGACCTCAGACATAAAGAGGAAGGCCTGGACGAGACCGAGGGAAAGCTTTTAGGAGGTGACAGCACTCAGAGAGAGGCCTGGGACTGATTTACTGGCCCGCACACACGACGGACGGACACACACACACACACATACAGACAGCAAAATGACACACATAGACACACATGGGATGCAACCTGTCATGCAGATGCTCAAAGCCGAAGTATAATGTAATTAGTTTAAATCCCACTGCACTGACAAACTGGAGAAAAGTGTCTGGACATTTTTCTTCAACTCCTCCTGCCACCCCTTCACCTCCGTCTCCTATGCCCTCCTGACCTGAAAGTGAACTCTGGGGGAGAGCTGGAGGTCAAACGGGACATAACTGTCCCAGTGACCAAAATTCACCTCCCATAATTTAGCAATGGCCGAGCAGCCGGAGCTACAGAATCACATGTGTCTCAAAACCTCCCCACCTCCAGCCACGCAGGCCATAATTAGAGTCTAAGCCAATCGAACAGGAAGCCATACGTTATCTGAATCATCCAGCATCTCTCATTGCCTGTTAACGCACACACCAATCTCATAACTCTGTCCGCAACGCACTCCCGCCATCAAACCCAAATGCACACTCATGCACATGCGTGCGCACACACAAAAAAACAGCTATCTTTCATCCGTATTTGTGTATATCTGAGATCTGTATCGGTTCCCCCTGATCTCCAGTCATCACAGTGGCTCCTTAATTACACCCTTCATTAACTCACATCAGCTCTGTGCATGTGTGTAACTAACTGTGTGTGTATGAGAGAGGGAGAGAAACAGATTGCCAGTATGTGTGTGTGTGTGTGTGTGTGTGTGTGTGTGTGTGTGTGTGTGTGTGTGTGCCTTTGAGAGAAAAAAGAGAAGGAAAAAAATTGATTAAGAGAAATGGGAGTGGGGATCGGAGCTCTGAGTCAATTTCTAAAACTGTCGTTTTCTAAACCAATGTGCCTTTTAAACCCTTGTGTAAGGGAGACCACCGCTACAATCTGCCTCTCACTTTCTAAAGTGCGCAAGAGCGAGTTAAGGGCAAGAGAGAGAAAATGGGAGAAACCCTCCCTGGCTGTTTTAGATGACCGATGAGCGGCACAGAGGAAACGGCACCTTTTTGTCACCATCTCTCCCTTTCCTCTCCCTCCTAATTTCCCCTCCCCTCTTCCCGACATCAGCGGCCGCGACTACTGTAGCTGCTGGAACACCAGAAGCGACTCACAGATGGCGAGGGAAAAAGGAGGACACATGAAAATGGGTGAGAATGGAGCGGAGAAGAGAATTGACGGTGCTCAAAGTGCAGACTCACATCTGCTCAAAAAAAAGAGAGACTTAAAGAAAAGGAAAGAATTGAAGACACCTGGTTCTTGTCAGAGCACCCGCCGCCCAGCCACACACACACACACACACACACTTTGAGGTTTGTTAGGATTTATCCTGCTTACATTTCTCCTCTGCTATGCATCATTTCATGTCTACACCCATGCCCGGCACCTCAACAAAGTGCCATGCACTCTCCACTGCACTCTCACTTTTCCACCTCTCCTTCCTCTCGCCCTGTAACTCTGCTCTTTGTTTTCCCCTCTTCTCCCTCCCTTCTTCCCTCCTCTCTCTCCTCGATGATGGGGCAGAACTGGTCTTCGCCCTCTCTTCCCTTTCTTCCCTCTCTCTTCCCTCTCTCCTGCTCTGTTCTTTCTGGGGAGGCAGACAGGCCACATTCCACAGGGAGGCCCAGGCGCCCTTTTCTGACACGTCTCAGCGTTACACCCCTCCCTCATCCCTCTATTCCTCCTCTCTAGCCCACCAATCCCCCCCCCCCCCCCATGTGCTGCTTCTTTGCCCCTCCTTTTCCCTCTGGCTGTATGTCCCATCTCCCCAATATCTCTTCTACACTCACCCACTTCCTCATTTGTCCACTGACCACCTACAGCATCTGCATGTGACCTGGTTTTATATCTATTTATCTTCCTATCAATGAGAAAGACAAAAAAATGAGAAAAAGAGAAGGACAGAGTCGGCGAGAGATGGAGAAGCTGGGAGAGAGAGACAGAAGACAGAGGCCAGTAGAGGGGTTTGATGGCTGGAGATGGCTGTGATTTCTCTCAGGTTCCCAAGGGGCCCAAGGAAAAAACGGCTTTGTGTTCTGACAACACCGGGCTGTCAGGAGTTCTCTGTGTGTGTGTGTGTCTTTTTTGCTCCAGTGCGCACTGGCATGGTGTTTAAGCACCAACACTAGTCTGCACTACACCTTCAGGTGGGAGACTCAAGCGTGGAGGAAAAATGAACAAGAGGAGGAGGTGTATCCAAGACTTTAAGGTTGAAGCATGAGCAGGTTCTTATACACTGCTGTCAGGTGACCAGTGTCAGTATTGCGGCCTTCTCTGTTAGACAATATTGATTTTTATGAGCAGTGGGCACATGCTAAGAATACAGCCTCTATGGTCACCCAGCATTACAACACCAAAACTGGGTTAATCAAAAGTGTGTTGGAGTAAGGGATAAAAAAAGTAACACATGATCTTGTGGAGAGAGCATGTGCAGGTTTGAGGGTTCCAGAAAAGGAGATGTATGTCTGTCAGGACATTTATCTGACATGTAAGTTTATACAAGTTTTAAACAAATATGAATAAAACTCAAAACTGGTCAATCTCTAATTTAACTTAGCTGATGAAAGTTTTAACAACTAGAAAGGGTCAGCATGAGAAACAGGAAATAAATTGTGGGAATGTAAAACCACGGAGAAGGTTTCTGAGTAAACTCATAAATTGATAAATTCTGATCATATACCAACAGAAAGCTCTAAATAGAGAATATGGTACAGTAAATGGCTGTGTATTTACTGTTACATACGTGGATGTGGCCTATCTTTTTGTGAGGTGAGGGCTGGGATCTGGAGGAAAGGTTGTGCTTGTCTTTCATGGTCCACATCGGATAGAAGGAAAAATAAGTACAGTGAGAGAGAGGAAGAGAAAAAGATGGAAAGAAAGAGGGAGGTATGTTTGTGGTTGGTAACCCGCTCAAGAGAGGAAATACCAGCGTGCACACACACACACACACACATATACACACACACAGGTGCAAAAACATAGAGAGCAGAGACACGTCTGAGAGAATAAAGACCTGCTTTGTATGAGCTACAGGTTTGGTGTTTATGTGTGTGCATTTGTGCGTGGCTGTGTGTGTCCTCGGATGAAGGTTGCTGAGGAAGCAGGGTGAGGATGCAGTCAGGGGAAGGAGGAGGGAGAGCCGGACAGGAGTGAAGGGCCTTGAGTGTTCTTCATTCACCTAAGGCTCCATCATTATAATTAAGGAGAGTCATTTTAGCAGCAGGGAGGAAACCCTGATTTTTTTCCCCCTGGGTTTCCTCAACTAGAAACTCAGCTGGTGTCGGAAAGCCCAGAACTCACACTGAACCTCTGTGATGGGCGGACACAACACACGCGCACACACACACACACACACACACACACACAGAAAGGGAGAGAAATGACCCACATGCTTATACGGCCATTGCATGTAGTGAATAGGAGGAACTTCTTCTCAATTGCAGCAAATGCCACATCAATGACTGAAACATGAATCAGTGAGTTTCCATCATTACATGACAACACTCAGCGGACATTCTTGTTCCGTTATGGACAAATGACTAATGTAGAGACCTCTGGATAGAAAAATTAAAAAATTGTTAAAATGATCTGTGTGGTTGTCTACTTTGTGTGAAGGCTTGGGTCCCTTGTGGATTTTTAGTGGAATGAGAAATATAAATATAGAATTTCATCCAAGAAGTTACGGGAAGTTTGAAAATGTAATTTGACGCTTGTGTGTGTGTGGAGGGATGAGTGTGTGTATGGACGGGGGGGGGCTGGGGGGGGACGCACAGGAGGCAGGATTAATAGCATAACTGGAAACACTACACGCTGACATGTCAAACACACACAAACACCACTTCATGGATCGGTGAAAAAAAAAAAAAGAGACTCTCACACACACTCATTGAGCATCTGAGTCCCATATCGAGTGTGTGTTTACATTGTGAGAATGTGCGAGTGCATGTGTGATCCCCGCGACAGGACAAAATGGCTCCTCTCACCTTTAGAGCTTAGACGGGACAGCAGGTGTGTCTTTCTCAACCAGTAATGTGTAATAGTATATCAGTGGGAACCTCCTGCGTATGAATTATTATGGTGGACTTTATCCCAGTCGAATTAGCTTGCACATTATGAACGGTGGATAATTAAAGCACCTATGAGCCAACCTCTCAGAGCTTTTCATTGTTTGCACATGCAAGGCTGACAATTACCAGAGTCTAGCAGACTACGTGTTGTCACATCTGTACATTATGTAACAGCCTGCTCCTGACAACAGTACATATGCACAAGAGTTGCACAAGTGGGAGGTGTTGCAAAACAAGTCTTGCAAGCACATATATATATATATATATATATATATATACAGGTCGATATGTAAACATAATGTCTCCCGCACACACATACACACACACCTGTTGCTGCTGCAGGTGCAGTAAGTCGACTGGGCTGATCTCTCCGTTGATGTCTCCGTTAGAACCGCCCTCTCTACCGCCCCCTCCATCTGATTGGCTGCTGACTCCGTTCTGGTTGGACGGTGTCGTTCGAATGGTCTCAGAGGCTGATTCCACCATCATCACTGGCACCTGAGAGCACAGAGGAAGGAGGGAGGCGGGGGTTGGAGGGGCAAAACAACAGACAGATTGAACAAATGTGACCTGGGCAGTTTGAGCAGAAAGCCTGCTCCCATCTGAGTGAACAAACAAGGGAGGAACCTAAAGTAAACACACGCAGATAGAGAAGTGAATTGTGTGTTTGTATGTGCATGTGTGTGTGCACGTGTACTTTGTGAAAAGGGCTTTTGGCCACACACACACACACACACACACACACACACACACACACACACACACACACACACAAACATGCCCAAGTGGCCACAAAGCAACACCTGAGGCAGACACTTTTTTGTCTGTACGTAAATGGGTGTCTAGGAGCGTACGCATGGATTAGGATCAGACGTGCAGCAAATCTAAACTGACAAGGCTGTTAATACTCTGCTATACAGTTAAATAACACAGACATTTCTCCAATAATCAGAGGTGGCATGTGTGCGCTGTGTGAGAGCCATGAGCAGGTTGGTCTTTGAGAAAGATCCGTTTGATGCACCTTCATAGGGCCTCTCTAATTAGAGCTTGTTCCTTCCACAAAACCCGACAAAACGAGCCGTTCCTGGATGTGTTGTTGTTTTTGAGAAACAAGGCCTCGCAAACACAAGGGCGCATTTGCCATCGTTAGGAGCTTGAGCGTGGGAGAGAGGAGACGCCGAGACACACACATAGGCGCGTGAAGAACACACACAAGGCAGCTAACACAAAACAAAACAAACCCTCACACAAGCACGCAGGCTGTGAACTCCTAATGACAAGCTCAATCTCGTCTTTCTGCCTCATCCAGTTTTAGAAATTAACACACACACACACACACAAACACACACACAAGCGCATAGTTTTTAAGGGGAAAGTTCTAATGCTTTTTTTTCAGCAAACCAGGGTGGGTACACAAAACGCCATCGAGGCATTGTACCCGCCGTCTGTGTGCGACTGTGTGTGTGTGTGTTTGTCAGAAGCGTACAACCCATGCCTTCAGGGGAAACGATAAAAGGCATTTCATGAGAGAATCTAACTTTGACGCAATAGCAGGTGAAGCACTGTGTGTGTGTGTGTGTGTGTGTGTGTGTGTGTGTGTGTTTTTATGAGACTGACAGCAGGTGAGGTTGTGAAAGAGCGCTGGTGGCTCTGTTAATGGAATGCTGCCAGATGCTTGCTGGGGGACAGGGACCTGAGTGTGTTTGTGTGTGTGTGTGCATACAAGTGGATGCAGGTGGATGGGCTGGTGGGTGTGCTAGTTAAAGGATCAGTTAACCTAAATCCCTCAACATATATTGCTGTCTAACCATGCAGTTGGAATTACTTTTCAAAGTTTCAGTTTACTGCTACTGAATTTTCAACTGGTGCAGTGATACAATAGGGATGAGTAGAACATAGTTTGTGCTAGCCGATGCATTGAAAATAATGTTCTTCAGCAATTGGTCCTTTCACCAAATAATGTTACTCCGACATCAGTAAGGTCTGTGTATAATCCTAAAAAAAAATAGATATTTTTTCTGCAAATGTTTTCCAACTCTTTCAGCAGCACAAACTAAATTCCTTTCACTATCATTGAATTGTATCGGCCTAGTGTTAGCAGTTTCAGAGGCGGCTTATTCAAGGCTCATAAAATCAATATAGCTTGATGCCGCTGAGAATACATGATGAAATATGTTTGTTTGTTTTTCCATGGAAAGTTCACTACTGACCTTGGAAAGGTGCAGGTGGCAAAGAAGTGGTGAGGTTGCGTTTGTCAAATGTGTTTTGTTTTTTTTTGCTGACTAAACCTTTAAAAGTACAAGGTGCCCACAGACAGATTTCACTGTTCCTCTTTAACGAGCAACACCATTTGCAAAAACCACAAATCACACTGTGGTATTTTTCCTCCCCATTGACTCTCTCCTGTCTCCCTCCTGGAACCCAACCGCCTGTGAAGTTAAGACTGAGAAGTCGAGCGTTATTGTGACATTTAAAGTTAGTCGCTTAATCTCCAACCTCATTCCTCTTCCCAACACTTCCTTCCTTCTTCATTCTCCTTCCTTCCGACTCCTCCTGCCTTCATCCAGACCTCTGCTAGGTCAAACTGCTCCCTGAGGTAATATCACGAAGCAAGGCATAGTGCTGAGTGATCAACAGATCCAGCCGCACAGACCACTGGCTTTGCACTGCAGTAGAAACTCTTCGCATCATCACGCTTCTCGGTAAGCATGAATCACCGGCTCGCTATCTAGCCCACACTACACCGCGCTGTGCTGTAATGTACTGTACACCCATCTGCTTCTAACTTTTCCTCATTGACCTTATTAGCAATGAAGGGAAGAGAGATAAAGACAGACAGAGAGATAGAACTCGCAGGTGGACAAGGACCTAATGGGAAAGTGGGGAGTGTGTAAAGACATGAGCGCATACCCTCTCTTTCACACACACACACACACAGACACACAGACACACACACACGGAGGCAGTGTGGTATGCTCTTCTAAAGGGTGTGTACTCTGTCATATCCTGTAATGGGTGTATATAAGCTGGTGTAATGGAGGTCGGGAAAAAGGCAGGGGCATAAATTTACCCTGAAGTCTCTGATTAGGGCTATGATACACACATACACACAGTGCTTTAAGTTTAAGTGTTTCTGGCAGTGAAGAGGAGCTGCCCGTGCAGAGGCCTGCCTCAACCCGCTACTCACTCTTTCAGTGTCTCTTCCTCGCTTTCTCGCTTTCTCTACATGCTCAGACCCCCTCCAGCTGAACCCCTGACCTGAGAGTGTGTTGGGAGAGACATTCCCACTACCCCGAGGGGACCGAGCGAGGGAGGGAGGGGTGCAGATCAGAGAGATAAAGAATGTGTTTGGTGGAGAGGGAAATAAAAGGCCTCCTTTGCCTTCTAATTGGGATGGAGAAGAGAAGAAGGGAAATGGGACTCAACATGTTTCTGATGACTCCGGTGTATACGTGTGTGTGTTTGTCGAAGAGGCTGACACCTACCTTTGTACAGTAATAGATTAGCTCATAGTCAACGCTAGGTGCATGTGTTTATATGTGTGTCTGGTGTGATTGATGAGCAGAGAGGAGCTGGGATGAGTCCTGTTTCGACACGTAGGCTTGTTCAGATGTTCCCGAAAACTTAGCACTAATAATAATCAGAACTCAGCTCTCCCTCCGTTCCTTCCCACTGCTCTAGGTGTGTGTGGAGTTCAAACAAGCCGAGCCAAATGCCCAGTGAGCTGGCTCACAACGGCTGACTCTCAGGCTTTGTTGGGAGGGATTGGCTCTGTCAGATTCCTCCTGGTCACAGCTCGTCAGAACCGTAAAGGCGGACCAGTTTCACTCTCTGTGAATGTGTGTTTGTATGTGTGAGAGGGAGTTGTGTACAGTGTGTATTTATGTGTGCATCTGTGTTTACAGCAGCTTAGTGAGATAATAAGTCTTTATCATGTTATGCCTCATGAGGGAATATTTCCAGCAGTCCCAGAACGCCTGTTCTGTTTCCTCCGCCTTGCATCAGCTCGCAGGAACGCTGCTTATTAGGCAAAGAACTGAGGGAATAAGGGTGGGAGGGAGAGAAAGGGTAGGAGGGAGAAGGAGGGAGGGGGGTAAGGGAAAAAATTGTCTGTACCAGTATCTACACTCCATCATCTATCTTCTACTTTCATCTGACTCTTGAATTATCTGTCTTTCCCCTACTCTCTGCATGCTGTCTTTCTCCCTCTGGTTATGCCTGGTAACTATTGGCAGGTTCAGCCCTGGAAAACATTAAAGTTTTCACCCTGAAATAGAATCCACATAGGTTACTTCTATGATCTCTGATAGTTCAATCAATATTTGTGAGCAAGAGAAACACTCTTCCCGGAGATAGAAATCTGAGGAACTGGAGCTCTAACCTGTTTTGTAATCAGGAAACAGAATTTGTAGGAGCCTCTGTTGACAATGAGTGTCTGCGTGTATTCTTAAAATATTTGGTTGTTATACCCAAAGGGGATTTTTTGTTTTTCATTATAATTGACAGTTGTGAACACATATAAGAAAAAAATGACCCTGGTTACTGTCATTGTGTCCACAAAATATCTATTTACTTCAGGATTTGTTTCTTGAAAGCATCTAAGCGGCTTTATTTCAATGCTTTGACGGGACATGAACACTGATATATACAGATAGTTAATAATGTACTAAACACACCCATGTTGTCACACTCTCACCCAAGACTCTACCACTAAATAAACCGTGAAACTGGCCCTGAGGGAATATGCTGTAACCCCAAAACCCAGAACAAATCCAACTATCAGGTCTGTCCTGCTATGTCTCCATTAATCACTCCTTCAATTCCCATTGTGAGACACTGAGCAAAAGGAAAAAAAAAAAAATAACAAAAAATGTCTGGCCCGGTGAGGCATTTAGAGGTGGTGTGTGATAAGAAGAAAAGAAACAAGTAAACATGGGTTGTGTCATTAACGTTCCAGTAGTGATTCTGCAGCAGTGACAATTGGAGACAATTACAAGAACGAGATGTTCTTGTGTCATCATAGTTTCAAGGCAGAGTTTCCACCACAGCCCTGCACCTCCTATATACGTATATCCTACTTTATCTGTCCATGCAAGCAGATATTCAAATATCTAACTAACGAGGCTACCTTGTGCGCGTCAAGACGTGTTGATTCTGAGAACAGCATCAACCTAAATGCAATTCAGTGAATTACTGTCAGACAGTTCATGATTCAGTTCACGAAGTAAATCTGCACTGCTACATCACTGCAATCCAGCTGTTTCACAAGGATTTCCCCCACTAATTGTTTTTCCTTCAATTTTTCAATTTGCTAATCACGACACAAGTGTTCACTAGCTCCCTTTGAGGACTTGAAATAGCAACACATAGAATAGCAAAAAAAAATACGCATTTAATTTAATATTACATTTTTTTTCTTTAACACAAACATTAAAATAATTTGATGATCATGTAAGTATACAAGTATAGCTAGCAGCCACACAGGGGTATATTATATG